CAACGTTTCCAACATAGGTAATAACTTCTTTCAATATTCATGATTTTTTTTTTTGATTCCTATTTGAAAGGATATAGAGATATCAGATTTTCTAACTTCCTTCTTAATATAGATAAATATCTTTTTCAATTCGCTTTGCTCTTTTTGAATTCTTAGGGAATTTTGAAATATCTGGTTTCTAGCTTGACAGCATTTCCAATATAGATATTATTTTTTTTAAAAATAAGAGATGTTTTGATTATATAATATTTATTTATTCACATTAGTTTTTTTTTTTTAGTTTTGGAATTTTAGAAGCATTTTTAGTTTTTTTTTTGTCTAATATCTATACTATGACGCATAAATCAACTTTCTTTCGTTTTAAATTTTCTTTAAGATCACGATCTCATGAAATGATTCTACAAAAAAGGAATTGTTTCTTTTCATCTTCTGATTCAAGTGATTATTCACTTTCTCGCTCTCGCTCTCATACTCATCAATCTCGCACCTATCGGTCTCACACTCGTCAATCTCGGTCACATCGTTCTCGAACTCATCGTTCTCGCTCTCCCTCTTATTCTTGGTCTAGTTCATATTTGCGCCAAAATTCACGTAATCGTAGTAGATCAGTTGAAAGTATATTATTTAGTGAATAACCAATAGTAATATCTGCAACACCATATAACTAATATAATGTTTAGATAATAGAAGGAAATATCGAAAAGTTAATGATAGAAGCGCTTTGAAAGAAGGTTAAGTAATTTATTTATATTAATTTTTTTTTTTGTCTAATACAAATATCGGCTAATAAAAATAATGTTATTATAGAGAATTCAGCTTTGAAATCTCAAGTATCTTGACTTGAGCAAAGGTTGCTTCAGCTAGAAAGAGCACACTCAAATACCTCAGACTTACTATATTCACAATCGTCAGCTGTTGCAGATAATTTAGAAGAATTCTGCATCGATGATAAAGCCATTCGAGAAAGGTCGTTTTATTCTGAAAAACTCTGTGATCCAAATGAAACAATGTTCAGGAAAGGGCAATTAATTCCAATGGATTCGGAATATAAAGCAGCTTTTAGGGTATATACTTGCTATTTTCAGTAATTTACTTATAATACTAACAATAAGAATATTAGATTATATTATATTATAATACTAACAATAGGAATATCAGATTATATTATATTATAATTATAGAAAGAAGTGCTCCGAGCTGCAAAACAATTGGCAAATAACAGTCCTGATTTGAAATTAGATGGAAAAAAGGATGGCGAGACCAAAAAAATTTTGTTGAACTTACTATCCTCCTCGCTATCAAAAAAATATATTAATAAAAGCCTAGAATATCTTGACAAAGAAGGTGCTCCAAAGCAACCATAAGAGTGTTTCGACGACCGCAAAAATTAAAGCGGATGAAGGAAAGTTGAGAGCAAATAGGAGAAGGACCGGAAAAAACTTTCAAATACAAGATGTAAAATTTTTTAATTTTATTTTGTTAATTTTTTTTTTACTATATAAATTATAATTTCATATATATCTACTTGCTTTCTTGCATTTTTATTTTTTTAGAAAAAAAAAAGAAGAATGGATGGGTTGCAGCATATGATTCGGGTTAAAGACCCTGCTATTGAAAAGTATCGCCCAAGCTTCATGAGCAAAAAAGCTTGGAAACAAGACCTCGCCAAAATAGTCGTTGCAACAGCTTATCATTCTGATAAACTATCCGAAATGGATATTGAACTTGTAAAAAAGGAACTGAATAATAATAAACGTCCAAGTAAAGAAGATGAGGAGGTAGATGATAATCATGTAATTAAGGTCTACGCTCCGGTGTGGAGATCTGAAAGGGTAATTTTTATATTTCGTTTTGAATTCATTTCTTTTTAATAATACTCTATTGGACTAATTCTACCTTTTTTTTAAATTTCATTTTGAATTTATTTCTTTTTGATAATACTCGTATTAGAATAATTCTACTTTTTTTTAAAATTTCATTTTGAATTTATTTCTTTTTGATAATACTCATATTGGACTAATTCTACTTTTTTTTTTTTAAATAGTGCAAAAAGCTCTTCCATAAGGCTGAAGACATAGCCTTAACGAACCAAATTCATAAAATGCAGAGGTACCGACATCGAGAAGATAGCTGAAAAAACAATACAAAACCGCCACTTGATGCTCCCCATTGGACAATTTCTTCATTCTACGACTATAATAACCGAAGAAATATTTCTTTGGTGCGGTCCAACAATAATAATTTGGAATTAAATGAAATTAACGATCCCAAATCGGATGGTTTGGTGTCTAATGATGGTTTGGTGTCTAACGGCAATGAATCAAATAATGAAATTGTGCCTGATAATAATGATAATTCTGGGCATAATAATAATAATAATAATAATAATAATAATAATAATAATAATAATAATACCATGCCGACGTAAGTATTTAAAAAAAAATGTTTAAAAATTTTATGAATTTTATTAATTTGGCATTTTTTTTAGCTCCAACGATGTTTCTGAATCCAATTGTGGTAATCTTAGAACTGAACAACCGTATATATTTAAAGTATACTTATAAGGTTTGTAATATATTTATTAATTTTTTATTATTTCAGAACCAATAACCCTAAAACAAACAATTCTGGCACATCTAACTCCATGTCTAACTCCATGTCTAACTCCATGTCTAACTCCATGTCTAACTCTACACCTAACTCTACGCCTAACTCCACGTCTAACTCCACGTCTAACTCTTTTACGCCTAACTCTATGCCTAAATCTACGTCCAACTCTACTACGCCGAAATCTATATCTAACGCGTCTAACTCTACAACATCGAAAAGTAATCGCCAAAAAAATAAAGATTCTAAAAGCT